CATAGCTCACAGCAACCTCCAACTCCTGGGCTCAAGCGAGTCTCCTGCCTCAGCCTCCCAAGTAGCTGGGACCACAGGTGCCCGCCACAATGCCCTGTGGCTGTCATTGTTGTTTTGGCAGGCCTGGGCTGGATTTGAACCCTCCACCTTAGGTGTATGTGGCTGGCATCTTAGCCACTTGAGCCACAGGCGCCGAGCAGACATAGGGCTTTTATCTACATTGTCTAGTCCTCTAATTTGACAGATCCTGCAAGGGAAGTATGATAAGCAGTAATTTCCCTTTTGGACAGTTTCTGGCCTTATGGGTAAGTTGTGGGCTTCTCTTTTCTGGTAATTACTTCTAAATTAATGAGTTAATTAGCTTGTGAACTTTAGGTAGTGATCATCTGATAGTTGTCCCCGTGCTTTATCATAGATATGAAAGGTAATTTTTCTGTATATTCAGGTATGTATTACAGCAGTTATATACCAATGTCACTGGTACCTGATGAACACAAATGGGGGGTAGTCAGTGATCTCAGAATAAATAGTACTGTAATTTGTGGAAAACCTATATATTTTACATATCATTATCTAAGTAACAGCAATTTTTTCTTTCTTCTTTTTTTTTTTTTTTTTGAGACAGAGTCATTGTTGCCCTTGGTAGAGTACTGTGATGTCACAGCTCATAGCAACCTCAAACTCTTTGAGCTTAAACAATTCTCCTGCCTTTGCCTCCCAAGTAGCAGGGACTACAGGCGCCTGCCATAATGCCTGGCTAGTTTTTGGCTGTAGTTGTCATTGCCGTTGGCAGGCCCAGGGTGGGCTTGAACCTGCCACCTCCAGCGTATGTGGCTGGCACCCTAGCCGCTTGAGCTACAGGTGTCGAGCCTGCCCGACTGTTTTTTGGTTACAGTTGTCATTGTTTGGCAGGCTCGGACCAGGTTCGAAGCTGCCAGCCCCTGTGTATTTGGCCAGTGCCCTAGCCACTGAGCTACAGGTGCCGAGCCTTACTAACAACACTTTAATTTCATTTTTTGCATGTTCTTTTTATTATATTTCCTTGTTTTGATGTGTGGCTGGGACAAATGTATTTGCTGTATTTACTGTGTGCCCTCATATATTTCTGGTCTCTCCCACAGAGGCAAAGGTAGCAGCATTCTTTTTCTTTTTTTTGCAGTTTTTGGCCGGTGCTGGGTTTGAACCCACCACCTCCGGCATATGGGGCCAGTGCCTTACTCCTTTGAGCCACAGGCGTTGCCCCAATAGCATTCTTTTTCTGGTTAACTTTTTTTGTTTGTTTTAGAGACAGAGTTTCACTTTGTCACCCTCGGTAAATTGCTGTGGTGTCATAGCTCACAGCAACCTCTAGCTCTTGAGCTTAGGCAATTCTCTTGCCTCAGCCACTGGAGTAGCTGGGACTATAGGTGCCCGCCACAATGCCCGACTTGTTTTTTTGTTGCAGTTTGGCTGGGGCTGGGTTCGAACCTGCCACCCTCAGTATATGGGGCCAGTGCTCTACTCACTGAGCCACAGGTGCCACCCAAACTTTCCATTGCTTGTCTCATAGCTCTTCCTTTTGCTTCAATATGAATTATTTTCAGTAGGCCTTGTCCTTGATTGCCCACTAGATTCATTGCCATTGTAAGTTTTTTTTTTTTTTTTCAGTTGAGACAGAGTCTTACCCTGTGCCCCTGAGCTGAGTACAGTGGCTTGGTAGTTCACTGCAACCTCAGACTCCTGGCTTGTGGGCATCCCACTGCCTCAGCCTCTGGAAGCCACTGGGATTACAGGTGCTTGCTGTGGCGCCCGGCTGGGTTTTTCCATTTTTTTCATGAGTCGGGGTCTCACTTTTGCTAAGGCGAGTCTCCCTCCTCAGCTTCCCACAGTGCTGGGATTACAGGTGTGAACCACCATGCCTGGTGCCATTGTAAGTTTTTAGTGAAGACTATGTACAATTTTAGGTGTGCCTTCTTATGTTTTCTTCACAGAGCTGTCTTGCTCAGTCTTTCCAAAAGTATTTTTTTGTCCTGATTGTTGCTTCAAATGAAATTATGGCCAGTGGCTATTTGTCTCTTGAAAAAGATCACATACGGCTCGGTGCCTATAGCTCAACCGGCTAAGGCGCCAGCCACGTACACTTAAGGTGGTGGGTTCGAATCCCCAGCCCGGACCCGC